TTCCCCCCCCCCCCCCCCCCCCCCTCTCATCAGGTCTCCGGCCTCGAGGAGAGTCTAGCCGCAAAAACCGCCGATCTTGAGTCCTTCCGCGAGAAGAAGGATAGCGCCGACGCCGAGCCCTTGAGGGCGTCCGCCCGAGCCGACGCCCTGGAAGCGCAGCTCCGGTCCTCCGCCAAGGCGCTCGCCGAAGCCCAGGAGGGACTGCAGGTGGAGTCGTCGAAGGTGGTTTGGCTGATGCGGGACGCCGCCGAGCTGGAGAGTAGGATGAAGAGCGAGGCGGCGGCGGCGGCGGCGGCACTGGAGGGGGAGGGGGCGGCTCGGTCGGAAGTGGAGTCGAAGGTGTGTGTTGTGGTGTGTTGTGTTGTGTTGGTGGTGACGGGAGGAAGCGGGGGGGGGGAGGGGTTGAGAGGTGGAATCGTTAGGTATTGTTATTTTAGTGTTTTGCTCGATCTTGTCCAGGAACGTCACAGCAGTCTGTAGTGGTGTCGAGAGGAGGAGGAGGAGGGGGGGGGGGGATAGGTCTTATTACCCACGCATGTGTTTTTTTTGTGTCCCACGCGCCCTACTTCCCTCCTCTCCGTCCTCCGCATTATCTCTCTGTCCCTCTTAGCTCAACACCGCGACGGAGGAGCTGGCATCGACCCGCAGAGACCTCGCTGCCGCCGTCGCTAACGTTGGCGAGGCGGAGACCGCTCTGGCGGAAGCCACCGCGGCGGGAGAGGTGCTCGAAGAGGCGAGAAAGGCGCTGGCCGAGGCTAAGAGCACGGCTGCCGGGCTTGAGGCGGACGGCGAGGAGCTTGGGGACAGGGTGGAGGCCCTGACAAAGCAGCTCGAGGACGCGCAAGAGGTGCGTCCTTCGCGTTTTGCTTTGTCTTTATTATTGGCATCGCGCTACCCGGCCGACCAATGAAAATACGTCATGTTAAAAAAAAACAGAAAATGCTGCTTAAGGCCATGGTATGGGACCCCGTGACGGGGCGTCATGGCGGAAGCTAAGCTGCTCTCCGGATTAAAGACAGATACGGCAGCAACAGATGAAAAACTGCACCACGTGTGTGTACATATGCATGGATTTGTTTTCTTCCGTGTTGGTGTCCTCGAACTTTTCATCGGGTGTGCTTCCATGCTTGTGGTTTGGCATGACGCCCTGGTGGGTCATTTGTCATATATTTGTGTCGTGTTTTTACGTACCAAGTTTCCTGGGTGGGTGGCTTGCGGGATGGCGTGGCGTGGCGTGGTATGGTGTGGCTTGGGGAAGGCGTTTGTGCGCACGGGAAGGGAACGCTTCATATTGTTCTTCGGTTGTTTCTCGTGTTGTCGTATTACACCGACGGGTGAACGCTTCGGAGAGAAGGCGATGTCGTTGCTCCTTTGATTTCCACGTCCTAGAACCTTGTATTTGTTTACTCTACCATGGAACCCTGTCTTCCCCAGCTCCCCCCTCCTTGACGCACCAATATGCCCTCCCTTGACCCAAACCTGTGTGCCTAACACACCCTGCCCTCCAATCCCACCCCTCGCCCGCTGCGCGTCTACTCCCCCCCCCCCCTGCCACCACAGTCGTACGCCGCCCTGGAAGCATCCTCCAAAGAGTCCGCTGCCACCCCCCGGGCCGAGCGGCGGGGGCTCCAGGCCGACCTCCCCCCCCCCCCCGAGGCGGATGGGGTGGCCCAATCCC